TTCAAAATAAATATTTTTATTCATTTGAATGCATTTGCTGATTCTTGATCAAACATGACACTGCCGATACTAACGATTACCACAGCATCACCGTGCGATGAAAGTGTCGATCGAGACGAAAACGTTTCCCCTGAATCAACGCTTTTAAATAACGTCAACGACGTACCACCGGTACGAAGAGGAAGACGAAGTTCATTTGTTGTTTGTGCCCAACAAGTTAATGCTCACCAAGAAGTAGCTGAATGGGTTGATGAAGACGTGATTTTAAATTTATTTGATCTAAATGTTTCACGATTAAATATTAATGAGTATTGCGAAGAAACGTTTCTTCATAGCAGCCTTGATTTGACAAAGTCGAATTTTAATCCGTACTATTATTTATTGGCATATAAATCGCATGCCACAGTTGATGAATTGAGAACAGATTTGATTGATTTGAAACGCAGACCATTGGGCACTCTAGTTAAACAAAATATTTTACCCTTCATTGAAGCAATTGACATGCTTAGTGAAATCAAGAAAGAATCGGTGGAAAAGGGAAGAATTGAAGACATTTTATCATGCGCAGATGCATTACATGGTACAGGGTTACAATTGTATGCGGAATCAATCAGAATTCGTAATGCGCTGAAAGTGATTCCCCGTTATGATTTCTTGTTTTCAATTGATCGTAATTTAAAACAAGCAAAATATAAACTTGTTATTAATGATTTAGCGCATGCGCCTCGAATGGTAGAAACATTGGTCAACTCAAAATCATTAAAGTCTCTGTTTTATCATGAAATCGATCGTCAACTTGACCATTTACAGTCATTATTCAGTGAACGTTTATTAGATGAAACGGACGAAAACCAGATATTATTTATTAGATACCTTCAATCAGTTGGTCGTAATGACGAGTCAGAATGGTGCTGTCTTCAATATCAGCGAGATATGATAGTCACCAGTTTAACGGCGTGTGCTACAGTTGCAGAAGCGTGCAATGTGCTGATTTCTCTGTTTCCACATTATTGGAGGTTGTCGGAACTCGTCAAATCGCGGTCAGAAGAAATAACATACGAGATCATTCAAACTTTCAGGAATGTAGTACTAAATGCTGATGGCGTTTTACCGCCAATTCCGTTTCAAGCACTGCCTGTTGAAATACATGAGGATTTGCGCCAGTTAACGTACGATTTTCAACGCAGGTGGAGAGAAATGAGATTGGACGAAATGTGTGAAGAAATACGAAAATTGTATTCGCATGATCCATGGGAATTAGAGCGCGATAATGAAGAAATGGAGTCGTATATCACAGGAATACCCACATTATTTCATGAAATATTGAAGGTGTGGCGAGATTATGGTTATTTTCGTTTATTAAATGAATTCGGTGATGTTATTTTAAAACTACTGAGGGAACATTCATGTACAACATTGAAACGAGTAATTTTATTAAGTGATCTCAGGTATATACGACGATCCATATTTCCGCGCTTAAAAGTAAGTATACATTTGAATGTTGTAAATCTTTAGAGAGATCAGCTGGTTGTCGAAACTCATCAAATCGTGGTCAGAACAAATAACATACGAGATCATTCAAACTTTCAGAAATGTAGTACTGAGATCAGCTGGCTTTTTTTAATTATTCTGTTGGCATTTAGTTTAATGACAATTATCCGAGTATTAGGTTTCAAGAGTACCTCATTTTTCCGAACTTTTCCCTTACATTTTCACCGCTAGCGTAAGTATTTTATTTTGTTTCAGAAGCAGATCAGTCGCTGTAATGGGTTCACATCTCGCACAAATGAAAAATATTTACTTGTTAAAACAGCATAACTGCCTTTTCGCGTGTATCAATATTCTATCCACTATCGGTGACTGGTTTCCGAATAACTCTTAAACCCAATACG